GTACAAATGCGCTTTACACAATTGATGTGTGTATGGATTGCGATAACAGTTGTATGAGCCCCTAATAAAATGTTTAAAAAAAAAAAATTTGGTGTCAGATAGCCCTACATTCCAGTTCTTTATGCTATTTACTAATTCTGTGACCTTGGGCAAACTATTGATTCTCCTAAGTAAAAGTCATATTTACTAGAACACCTATTCCTCACTAACCGTTATCTTGTTAGCTAACATTTGACATGTATGACAGCCTTGAAAAAATGCTCAGGCAGCACCTCCATGTTCTGGGCACCACATAGGGCTGTAGCCAGGTTTTGAGTACCCTCGCCCTGAATAGTATACAAGAGGCCCTGGGGATAGTTGGGTCCCAGGGGTGACAGCAACCAACTTAACCGCAGGACACCTTCTCCTGTGTCCATCCATAATGTCTTGGTCTTGTCAGAAAATGCAGTGTATCAACAGGGTGTCTGGAAGCAGGCAGGGGGAAGATGAGCAAAGTCCCAACGTAGCCCAGGCAGTGGGAAAGGGGAGTTGGTGGGCAGCACACAACCATCACCACCGCCCCCCCCCCCACAAACTCTGAGGATTACATGCTGATGGGGAATGGGGTTCTGCTGTACCACACACTTTGTACAAGGAACACCCAATGGGTGGTGAGCAAATGCAGAGAGAAGGGGGGACACCAGCAGTAGATATGGGACATAACCCCTAACTGACAATATAACTTCAATTTTGCATAATTTTAGAGCTGAACCATGTAAATACAGTAAATACTCATGTGTAAGCTGAGGTTTTTTTCCACCATATTTTTAATGCAGCTTTGGTGGTAACATTAGGTGCCTTGGCTGATATTCAGCTCGGCTTATACTCGATTAGAAACTGTAAGTAAGGAGTAGGTGTACCTGCCTCAGTTGATTAGAAGAACTAAAGCCACCACTAACATTCACCTGGATTATTTCAGTATTCTATCTTCTCATTGGTTGGCCTGCTTCCACACTTGTTCCCCTCGAGTCATTCTTCTCACTATACAGCCATAGTGTTTTTGATACAAAATGTCTTTCCAATAAACAGTGCTGATTTCAATTAGATATTCTTGTGGAATAAATGAATCTGACTCTCTTAACACCATATTCAAATTCCATTTTAAATGTGAAAGATAGTAGTACATTTAGAAGAAAACAGGAAAATGCCTGTTACCTTAGAATAGAAGTTCCTTCATTGGGCCTCCACTCAAGTACTCCCTCAATTCAAGAATACTTTATTCTATTAAATTGGCATTCTATGATGCTCACCTTCCTGACACAACCGCTGAAGACAAAGTGGGGGAATAAGCAAATGTGGTGAAGAAAACTGATGGTGTCCAGCTATCAAAAGATACAGCATCTGGG